TTGAATCATTTCAAAATTACTCCAAATTTTATATGTAAACTTTGAAAACTTTGAATACCAAAGTTGATCCTTATAAAATAATCTCCAACTTTACTTTTTGTCACAACCCCAAATTCCAAATGGATTTTGAAATATCCAAAAGGGGCAAAAAAGGACTTTTATAATTTAAAGTTGAATTCAAATTTGATTTGTTTTCCTTTTGTCTTAAATTTGAATTTTGACCAGTAACATGGCCCATTAGGGTTATTTGAGTCAAATGACACATGGTCTCACATGATCACATGAAATTTGACCCTTGTGGTCATGATCTTTGTTTAACGTTTTGAATCACATTGCATCATATAAAATAACAACTTATGAAACAAATCTTATTTAGTGAATGCATTCCAAATTTTCTTCTTTATGAATGCTTTGCAATGCATATGATGACATGTCAAGTTTTAGTTCTAGGTCAAAACACCAGAGGTGTTACATCTACCCCTCCTCGCTACCAGATCGAACCCTCCTCTGTCAGAACCAGCCCGTCGTCGCCTGCAAGATGACTGCTGCAATGAGTTTGGCATTTGGTTACGCGGCTAGACCTGGACGATGGCAGAGCAGGGCGGGCTGAATGCAGCGGGCGGCGATGTCGGGGGTGCCGCGGAGGTGGCACGGAGGGCACAGTCGATGGTGCTAGCGCTCGACAACAACAACGCGCGCCGCGCCGTGGACAACCACGCGGAGCTGCTGCTGCTTGGGTACACGCCATGATGCGAGCGCAGCGCACAGCTGCGGTTCGCCTAGACCGCGGCCGCGTTGTGCGCCATGGGCAGCGCTGTCGCCTTCGCAAAGTTCAGCGTGGAGCGCTACCCCAAGGCAGCCGCCGCCGTCGGGGTCAAGGGCTTCTCCACCGTGCTCCTCTTCGTTAATGACACCGAACCTATCATGGCCTGTGCACCCGGTGAGGATGCTGCTTTGCTGGAGTGGCCGTTCATATGTTTGACTAATTGACTGAAAATTATCTGTATCGCTTGTTGACCAATTAACTGAAAATTATGTGATTGAATTCCCTAAGCATTATAACTTTGGTGATATTTGATGGCTTGAGGAAATAATTTCAGGGTACGAGGGCTGGCCCGGTGCAGTGGTGAGAGCTGTCTCACTGAGTCACCAGATCGCGGGTTCGAAGCGGCCTCTCCGAAGATTTTGTGGGGGGAAGACTTGCCTTGGTTTTTCCCTTCCCCAGACCCTACTCATGTGAGAGCCTCCGGCATTGGGTCTGCCCTAGACTAAAGGAGCTGTTCTCGATCATTTTGGAGCTGGTGGAGATTGGATATGGGGAGCAGAATGCAGTTCTTGGACATGGCAGGATATTGTTGCGTCCGTTTGTTTCCTCTCCATAGTTCGATATCAGTGTGCAAGGTTGAACACCAATTTTCAGCTTATATTACTGACATTTTAGAATTCAGATAAATAGCTAAGTTTACCTATGATCACATGTCATACATTGGATTGTCAATGATCACTGTGATCCATTATTCTTCTTGTGGCAAAGAGTACAAGTTACTATGCAGCTATTACTGCAAGGATTTTTTTAAATTTCCGGTTGTTTGCTTTTATATAGGTGTGATGCTTTGAATTTTGCCTAATCTATCTTTTAGCTTTGCAAACAGGTTGCTTCATATTAAGGAGAACCACGAATTTCAAAAAATTGGGGTCTCAGGGAAGATCCACATCGCTAGCGCACGGCTGATAGTTCATCTCAACTCTCCCAAGATCATTCAAGAAGGCGGCAGCCCCCCAATAAGCATGTCCATCTGCAACACAGTGAGCCCAGGTTTGATTTCTTCCAAGCATTAACATGTGGTATACTGTTACTCATGCACTGTCCTAACCAGCTTGAATCCCTGGTGAACAGAACCATCATCTTCCCTGCCATTACCATGAAGCAGCAGCAGAGGACCGCACAGGAGGGGGATGCCAAGTAGTAGGCGAATAAGACCAATGGCAAGCGGAATCTATCACCTGTGCTGGTAACTTGTTTGCTCACCTCCTTTTTGTCATCACAATATATCACAATATACCAGTGTGTCTTGTGAGTTCAATTAGTTTACCAGGAATGGCAGGACTGCAACTACATAGACCTATTGGAACTTGTAAAACATAGTTATATACTGGTATAGCACTAGACTTGCCTCAAATGCATTAAAAAATATGTCTATTTGTTTGTCAGGCCAAATTAACACATTGAGGACAATAATTTGTCATGCTAAAGTTGCTTGGACTAATCAAAATCAAAACAGGGTGCAGACCAATCTTTCCCTGTGTGCTGGTGAGACTGATGATAGTTGAAATATGTCTTGGCCTGATCTTAATATTGTTAAAACTAAGAAAATGATGACAATACAGCTAAATGCTAAGTAGTGAGATATGATCAATGATCTTTTTCACATGTTTTCTAGGGGTCTCTTCTCGGGAAAGCCACAGAGCAAATATGTTACTTCAATGACAGTGTACTTGTCCAGATGCCATTTCCTGCTACTATTTACTCAAATCTCCTAGATACTTATGCCTATCTTGTCTGTGCTCTCAAGAGATTAGAGATTTTTAGAATAAGTCTTGAATAAAGAATTTCAATGAATTTTAATCATGTAAAATCTTTCAGATAGTTGATGTCAATAATGGAAGATCTTATTGCCGAACAATCAGGATTGGACGAGGTGAACCAACGCACTATGGTGGAAAGGTTGAGCTTGTGTTTGATGGCGCTAATTTGATCGGTAACATTAAGCATCTCATGAATGCTGAAAACTCACTCCCCAAATGGAAGATGATTGAAAAGTACACAAATACCACAACAAAACTGCTTGGGCATATCAAGGAGAGGTCACTGGATGGATATTGCGAGAGGGATATGCTCATGAAGCTAGCTATGACCTGTATGATGTCCTTTAAACATTATTTATTTGAGTGTGGCTCAGAATAGTATATTGTTAAGCTGAGTTAAAATTTATTTTTTGGTTGATTGTGACTTATTATTTTTCCACACTCTTATTGCTTTTGAAATTTGAAGACTCCCATAGCAACGCACGGGCATATGCTAGTATTAAAAAAAACTCATCTCAAACAACTCCTAAACCCACCACCCAATCTTTTGGCACTTGGAAAAAAACACCCCACGCGCGTAAAGTTACGTGCGCGTATAGTCGCCCCAATCTGAGGTGGGAGGATGTGGGGAAGAAAAAAAAAGTAGACAGGATTTCTGATGCAAATGTACAAGAGAGAAATAAAATATAAAAGTGGTTACTGTGATTTAGAAATACTTTATGATTTCTAATGTAAAATTACCATCTATCTTTTAGGCGCAAGATTTTGGAAATAGTTGGAGTTGTAGCTTTTTTATGTCTCCTAATACATTTTGCAAAGGTTGGAAAACCTGTGTTTTGTGGAGTATTTTTTAGATACTGTTGGAGATGCTCTAATACATACCTATTGTAAGGGCATCTCCAAGAGTTCCCAACAATGTCTTCTCAAAATCATGAAGTTTTTTCAACTCCCCAAAAATTACTAGAAGGAATAAATAAGACCATCTCTAACAGTTTTAAATAATTCAATCATAAATTATAGATGACAATTTTACATCAGGATTCATATACTATTTCTAAATAATCCTAACCACTTTTATATATTTTTTCTCTTTTATATACATTTACATCGGGAACTTTTTCCTACACTTTATTTTTCCCATGTCCTTTCACCTTTAGAACGGCCGATGGATAATCGCGTGGTAGACGCTCGGATATGTCCACACCATCTGTCTATTTTTCGAAACGCGGAAAGATTGGAAGGATGAATTAGTAACTATTAGAGGATGAGTTTTTTTATTCTTATAAAAATCCTAGATTGAGAGGTTTTGTTAGGAACTCTTTTGCTGCTCCGAAATATAAGGATATTTCGTTTGTGTGGCAGCTTGTCATAATGGTTGGCAACTCCGTGTTTGATTGCGGCTGCATATTATGCATGCCAAAAGTGTGGCAGCCTTTGCGTATCGTGCAGTCCTAGACTTTGTTTAGTTGGTGATTTTTTTGGAAAATGGTACTGTAGCACTTTCGTTGTTATTTGACAATTAGTGCTCAATCATAGTCTAATTAGGCTTAAAAGATTCGTCTCGTGAATTTCGTCTAAACTGTGTAATTAGTTTTATTTTTTATTTATATTTAATGCTTCATGCATACGTCAAAGATTCGATGTGACGAAGAATCTTGAAAAATTTTGCAAAATTTTGAAAACTAAGCACCTAGTTGCTCATCGCCAAAACAAAAATATGGCGGATGAAAAGCCAGGAGCGCCACATTTTTTTTTCCTCGCAGTGTGGCTTTACACGTGCTGCGCGGTAGACTTGAGATGTTGAGGTCAGTTGGCACTTGACGCTGGCGTCCAAAATGCATTCAGTAGTGGCGGCTGGCCCCTGCCCGACCAGCGTGAGGAAAAGAACCCATGCGCTGGTCCCCAGAAAAAGCCTCGCCAGTGCGCGCAGTTCAGACGCCCAAACCGCCTGCCCCGCGGCGACCGCCGTCCGGACTCCGGAGCAAGCGAGCTCCGTTCGGTTTCGTTTCGTCTCCGCGCCGCGCGTCCGGTCAGTCGGTCACCCCCTCCATTCCACTCTCCCCGGTCCACTCCACGCCGTCTGCCCCTCCCGGACTTCCACTACCGTCCGATTCCCGTCGCCTCGCGCGCCACAGGCGCGGGCAGAAGCAGCTGCGAAAGCCGACCGCCGTCCCTTTCCCTTTCCCTCTCCCGAGCGGAGCGCCCTCCCTCCTCCATAAATGGCCGCGCCGTGGTGACAGACAGCGGCACCGCTGCTCCTCCCATCCATCCCAGCCGCATTCGCTCCTCCGCCCCAGCCCCTTTCCAGAAACCCCGCGAACCCCGCCGGGAGTCCGTGGCCATCGACGCCGCCAAGTGGCGCTGACCCGGACCTGACTGCTGAGGCCTGAGGAGGGTATCGCGGGCGTGCCGAGATGCAGAGCATCGCGGCGTCCTGCTCGTCCGCCTCCTCCTCTAGAACCTGGGCCGCGGCGCGCCGCTCGCCCGCGCCCCCATCCCGACCCTCCTCGCGCCACGTCGCCTTCTTGTGCTCCCAGTCCTCCTCCTCCTACCCCTCTTCTTCTCATGGCTGCCGCTGGCCGGTCGCCGGCGCCGGCGCGCCCGCGCTCCCGCTCGACATTCGCGGGGGCCTGCGCCCGCTGCCCTCGCCCCTGCTCGCGCCGGGCGTCGCCGCGGTGAGGACGCGGGCGGCGGCGGCGGCGGCCACGGCGTCGCCGCTGGCCGCCAGTAAGCCGGAGGGCGCCGGTCGCATTTCACGGACCCTGCAGCTCGGGACCATGATCCTCGTCTGGTACCTCCTCAACATCTACTTCAACATCTACAACAAGCTGGTCCGCCGTTTCGTCCCGTTCCTCAGGTCTTTTCCTAATGGGGTTGTTCAACCGTATCTAACCTTCTAATTACATTGTTTTGGAATTGTGCATTGACCAGGTTCTGAAAGCGATACCATTCCCTTACACCATCACTACCTTCCACTTCGCATCCGGATCCTTCTTCATCACACTCATGTGGCTACTCAATCTGCATCCCAAACCGAGGCTCTCCCTCAAACAGGTACTGTATAAACAAAAAAAGAAGATTACTCACCTTTGCTGTGACCTGCAGCTGTAATAAGATACTAGATATTAGTACAAGATAGCTTGACACTCCAATTGACTAAACTGCACCAATGTCACACTGCTTCATTCATATAGCTGATGCGATGCGTTGTTATTTATTTGCTGATGCAGTATGCAAAGCTCCTGCCTTTGGCTTTGATCCACATGCTTGGAAATGTTTTCACCAATATGAGTTTGGGCAAGGTGGCTGTCTCCTTCACGCACACCATCAAGGCCATGGAGCCCTTCTTCTCGGTCCTCCTCTCTGTCTTGTTCCTAGGCGCGGTAATTGGTTGGTTCACACCTTTGCTAGATTATTTGTCCTTAAAGGTGGAATCCTCCATATAAACCTCTGTTTCTCTATTCTAATGTTTCTACAGACACCTTCTCTATTGGTGTTGGGTTCACTTGTTCCTATTGTTGGTGGAGTTGTATTGGCGTCCATGACTGAAGTTTCTTTCAACTGGTAATTTATTGCTTCAAAGCGTCAAAGAGTTTACTCAAAGCAATATTGTGTATTTGATTCTAATATTATGAGAAAACAGGATTGGATTCTGGAGTGCCATGGCTTCGAATCTTACGAACCAATCGCGGAACGTTTACAGCAAGAAAATTCTCGCTGATAAAGAGGTGAGCTTTTTGCTCTTATAATGTTCCCTAACTGTATATTCACAAACACTGCACCCCCTAACAAAACTTGTTCTTATTACAGGACAGTTTGGATGACATAAATCTCTTCTCGATAATAACTGTCATGGCATTCTTGTTATCTGCTCCACTGATGCTATCTGTAGAAGGCATCAAGTTTAGCCCATCGTATCTACAGAATGCTGTAAGTGTGGCCAGCATGGAAAACAAGAAACTTTGGAATATTTCAACTCTTCACTGACATGAAATTGCTGAATACTAAATTTTCTGGGTTTGCAGGGAGTTAATGTAAAAGAATTATGTGTAAGAGCGGCACTTGCTGGTACATGTTTCTATTTTTACCAACAGGTGAGGCCAGTCTCCACTAAAAACATCTTTTGTAGTCTCTCAGAGGTTGCTAAAATTGTCTGTTAGTGGCTACTGCGGTTGGCTACTTAGATCCAAACAAACTACTTACTATTTGCTTGCAGATAATATATATGTTTTGTCCATTGTTTTATTGCTAGGATCATGCCCTTCCAGTTAAATATGATATTATCTTCAGTTATATTGAATAACTTTTCAGCTCTCCTGTATCATCTGATGAAAAAATGTTGAATAATTTTCAGTTTTTCTTTTTGAGTCTAGAAAGTATCACGTTTTCTGCATAAACCGTCTATCGGTTTTTGGATGATCTCTTATCTAACTGTTACTATGAATTCTGTTGCACACTGAATCACCAATAACAAAGTCTTTATTTGTTTCTTGGCAGGTTTCATACAGTTTATTGGCTAGAGTATCTCCTGTGACCCATTCGGTTGCCAATTCTCTTAAACGTGTGGTGGTCATTGTGTCATCCGTTCTCTTCTTCAGAACTCCAATTTCACCTATAAATGCCTTAGGTACAGAGCTGATGCTATCCTTCATGCAAGTACCAATTACTGGCCATCTAATTTATCTCTGTCTGAATTTTGTTTTTTTTTCCTTGCCTGCAGGAACTGGTGTTGCTCTTGCTGGAGTTTTCCTGTACTCTCAGTTCAAGAAGTTAAAACCAAAGACAAAGGCTGCATGAAAACAACCACCTAATGAGGCAACAAACTATAGAAGGATCGAGAATTTGGAACCATCAACTAATGCGGTGAAGCAGACTGGCCTTCACGGTAGCAAACACCTATCGTTTCCCCATGTTTATCTTAAAAAACATATGTTCCCTTGTCAGCTTCTTTGTCTGCGAGAAGCCTGTACATACGTAAGTTTCGTCGAGAAGGTGTGGTGGAACAAGTGAGTAACGCCGACATAGCATTTTCAGGTAGATTTCAAGAGAATACAAATTTTGGCACATACTTCTGGATGTCTCACTTTAGTGGTAGCCCGATACTCTTTAAATGTCAATGAGATTATACATCTCTTGGGTCTTCAAGTCATTCAGTTGAAACTGGCAGAATGCTCAATAGATCGAGTTCACATCAAAATATGGTTCAATGTTTTCTTTCTATTGTATCCTTTGTTTTGCGAACTTTGTGTTTTTTGTTGAAAAAAATATATATCCTGGTTCCTGGATATAGTATATATGAAAGAGACAGAATCACAGAATTAACAGGTGATATTGATAGCTTTGGCAACTTAGCCATTATTTATAAAAAGATGTCGCCTTTGTTGATGAGAGCAGTCACTACCGGAAACACCTAAGTTGCCGAGTGTCCCCACCTTTGCCGTGGGCAAGATTTCGGGCACTCAGCAAACATGGTGTTTGCCGAGTGTCCCAAATACGACACTCGGCAACAAGAAAACTCACGGCATAACATTTTACGCCGAGTGCCTACACTCGGCAAACAAAAGACACACGGCAATTTCATGTCCGTTATCATTTTGCCGAGTGTCACACGTTAACACACGGCAAACCCACCTATATGCCGAGTGTCAAAATACAACACTTGGCAAACCCACATATATACCGAGTGTCACCATGCGACACTCGGCAAATTCTGTTATATGCCGAGTGTCAGCATCTGACACTCGGCAAACAAATTTTTTTTTTTTATTTTGCCCCCCAAAGTTTTTGTACTGTTGTCTTACAATACCTGTTGCTCTGTGTTGAAGTTTTGTACATTTCTGAGTTATTTTACTATATTTCGTCAATTTATTTTAGTCAAATGAATTTTCGGTAATTTTTTGGATTTGAACTGCAAGGGCTTCGAATATCCGTAAAAAGTGAATAAAAATGATATTCTTGTCACAGAAATGATATTCAGACCGTATCCAGGGCCAGACCAGCAATTTCGAACATTGTGTTCGCGAAACATGAGCAGAAACGCGTGGCGGAAACGTCTGAAAATTCTATAAAAAGCAAACGAAGTCTGAAAATCACGAAATTCGTCGAGTTGTCATGATATCATACGTGGAGGCTATGGTAAAAAATTGAGAGTGTTTCGGCAAAGTTGACACGTACGCTGCTTACAAATCGGATCATCTCCGGAGAAGTTTCTAGATTTGAGAAAGATCCGGTAAGATGAGGAGACAATTTGAATGTCGATTTGGAGTTTCACTTCAAAATTTTTTGTATATACAATAGAGAACAAAGATCGCTTCTTGTGAATTTTTGGCAATTTTTCGGATCCATTTCGTAATTTTAATTCTTTCGTCGTAATTATTGAATTTTAGATGCGTGATATACAAACACATGAAATAATAGTCCAATTTTTGTACAAGCTTGAAATATACATATGTGAGTGCACCTAACAAAGTGTAATGCAAGTTCATTTCATGAAATTAGTGAAACATGAAATAGAGGAAAGTAATTAAGTAGAGGAAAGAAAAGGGCAGCATGTAATATAGAAATAAGTTTGTCGAGTGCTGCATAGGTGGCACTCGGCAACAATGTAATAAATTTTTTTTAAAATTTCCTGTTAAGGGAGAACAGGGATTTTTTTAAATAGGGAAAACAGGAGGGCACTTTTAAAAAAAATGTTTGCCGAGTACCCAATCGTCACGGCACTCGGCAAACTGATGGGATTTTTTTTAAAAAAAACGTTGCCGAGGGTCGGATCGGGCCGACACTCGCAAACAAACAACAAAAATAGCTAGGCACGCTGGCCGGCTCTCAGCCATATATCCCAGCAAGACGCTGCTCCTCCTCCGCCGCCTCGCCGTCGTCAAACAGCCGCCGCCATCGAGCTCGCGGCGCGCACGCCGTCGTCGACCTCTCTCCCCTCGCCGCCGCCCCCCCCCCCGCGCCCTCCTCCCTCCCCACTCCATCGTGCTCCCCACGCCCGCCGCCGTTGAGCTCCCTCCCCACGCGCCGCCGACCGCACACCCTCCACCGCAACCCCTCCGCCGCCCCCTCCTCCCACTCCGCCGCCCCCTCCCTCCTCACCCGTCCCCTCCCCCTACTCTTCCAATTCATTCACGCGCCTCTCTCCCTCCCTCCCTCCCCCGATTCGGCCGGCGATTCCCCGTCCCACCAAACCGTCGCGCCTCCCGAATTCCCGTCGAATCCGAGCTCCTGAAGACACCCGAGGCAGAGGGCTCCCCAATCGCCTCCCACCCCCCGTGCCTGCGCACCGGTGAGCTCGATTCACGACATCCCCTCGACGCCTCGATCTTATTTACCGTTCGCTTCAAAGTCGATCTAGCGAGAGAGTTCGTGTATAGATTTTGTTTCGGTTACATTAGGTCGCGAGGCGCGCTGTTGCAGGGGATGCTTGCTGCCTGCGCGTTCCTTTTGTTTGGTGGTGCCAGTGCCAATGCGGAGCAGCGGAGGGCGAAGGTCAGCCGCGTTCCCCTTGGGTCGTCCATCTGCCGGTGACGATGCCGGGCGAAGGTCCTCGTGCGAGCAAGGATTGGTGCGCCCGAAGCCCACCACATGCTCGATGGAATGCCAGTTTGATGATTGTATCCCTTCTTTGTAGGCTGATTATAGTAAACTCAGTTCCAGGACTGCAGTCAAATGCATGTCATGTGGATGTTTCTTTTGAAATGGATAAGGTCTTTTTTCTTAGCAGAAAAGGATAAGCAGCTCATTGTCTGCAATGACCTTGTATTCAGTAAGTATTGCTATATTTGAAATCGAACAGAGAGGATGTTCTCAAACACATCATCTAGATGTTCCGTTTAGTGTAGAAATTCAAACAGTTGCATTGACAAGACCAAAACGTTGATGACTGAATGTTTGTATGCCAAAATAAAATAAACTGCATTCAAACAGGATGCAGCTAAGTCTTACAGAGTGCTATTAATTCAAACTGGAATTAAAATGATACAATTCAGAGAGAAGAAGACCTTGTATGATACTTTTGAAGGGTTAAAGGGATTGTTATTTGTTTTTTTACATGCAAATTTGCTTACTGATCAAGTGTAATTAATGGCTTTCTTAGTAACTTCGTCAATATGCATGTAGGTTTATACACGCCTTTTAATCTCTGATGCGTGTATTGCTGCCCATAGCCTTTTGCAATAGATTTTACTCCATCACAAATTCACTGCTTTAGAAGTGTCTTTCTTACTTACCTCATGTATCCATTATCTTGTTTCTTTTTACTTTGTTTATGGTGATATAAAGGTAATTACTTACTCGTGTGAAATGACTTATTCTTTTAGGGAGGACTGAGGCTTCTGGCTATTTGTTGGTGTTCCGTGGACCTTGTAGCGGTTGAGGCTTCTCCTGTTTGCGGGATAGCGAGGTGAGGCATAAAACACCCCTCTTTTCCGTATCATGCATGTTTGTAGAGCACGTAACCCGGTTAGGCGTCTCCCGTTCGAAAAAGATACGGTTGGAAATATGCAGCTCTTTGCATATCGATAACCGTATCTGTTTCGAATTGTCCACGTTTTTTGGACAACCCTAGGATGCGTAGATGGGGTTAGTCTCCGTGGTCTACTCCGTTCCGAGGTAGAGTTTCGGCAGCATCTCCCTGTTGTTCTCCGGATACACAATCTCCCTACCAGGACGTGTATTTGGAGAACAGCGGGGAGGTGCTGCCGAAATTCTGTCTCGGATCGGAGTAGACCATGGAGACTAACCCCAGCTACGCATCCTCAGGTGGGATTCGGACCTATCCTGACCTATTAGATGGTAGGAACATCGTGTACATGCAATTGATTCTTAATGTCTCGTTGGATATATATATATATATATATATCAGAGGATGGATGACCGTGAGTAGATGTACACGGGCTGCCCAAGTCAGCGTGCTTTGACTGATGAATGGATTGAGAAGACGGAGGCTTTCATAGATAGAGCATTTGCCCTAGTTCCAGGAGCGTCAGCCATTTGGTGTCCGTGCAGTAGATGTGCAAACAGGCGTCGGCAACCAAAGGATGTCATGTCTACTCATCTTTGCAAGAATGGATTCATGGCAGATTATACTCGGTGGATCCACCACGGTGAAGCCGATCGGATGAGAGAGGAGGTCGTGAGAGCACGCGTCGAAGATTTCGATGCTGATGCCGGGGTAGGTGACTAGCTAAATGACTTTCACGAAGTACACGTAGGTGAAGAAGGTGGGGAGGAGCCAGAGGCAACCGCAAAGGTGTATTATGACATGTTGTCTTCGGCACAGAAACCCCTTCACGGCACACAAAGGTTTCTCAACTGGATGCCATTGGACGGGTAATGGCCTTAAAGGCTCAGTTTAGCATGAGTCGAGATTGTTACGATGCTACGTTGGCAGTTATTGGCAGCTTGCTTCCAGAAGCTCACATTATGCCAAAGAGTATGTACGAGTCGCAGAAACTCCTTTGTGCACTCAAGATACCATATGAGCAGATACATGCTTGTCCGAAGGGGTGCGTCCTATTTAGGAAAGAACACGAGAAAGCAAAGTACTGTCCAAAGTATCAATCCTCTAGGTACCTGGAGGTAGAGTCTGGTGATGGTCAGAAGAGGCAGCTTGAGATCCCCGTGAAGATCCTACGGTACCTTTCATTCTTACCGAGGATCCAACGGCTATACATGACCGAGGAAACCGCGAAACAGATGACGTGGCACAAAAATGGCACTGGATACAGTCCTGAGAAGATGGTACATCCATCTGATGGTGAAGCATGGACCCACTTTGATGGGATTCATCGTGA